TGAAAATTAAATTGTATGCATTCCAGCTGGCTGTTATAACACCTGCTAATAGGTGTGGAAAAGTTTCTTAACTGAAATTGGAATACTTTTTTTATAAAGAGAAGCATAAGCATATAATGTAACAGATCATCAATATGTATAACTTGAATATGAATAAATACAGTTTTAATGTTTAGAAAACACTTTATACTTCCTTTTTAATATTTTGATGCTCACAGTTCTGATTTTAACTTTCTTTGAACTTTTGTACTTGGTAATATACCATGCCACTATTATTTTGATTGGATTTTGTTTACTTTATTAATAAAGGTCAAATTCTAAGGCAGGATTTCAATTAAAATGTGTCCCAACAGTAGAAGCAATATCGCAGTGTTAGATTTGCCACAATTTCTTATTTCTTTGTATTACAGTTGGCAGTGGAGAATAGATTAGTTTTGTAGGCATCAGCTGGTCGTGTACCTTTATATACGTAGCTTAACGCCTTTACAAATTGAAAAAGTAGCTACTCTAAATTAAAGATTATATTGCATTTTGTGATAGGAAAATAATATCACTAGTAATTGTATAGCCTTTCATTTTAAAAATAGTGATTCAGGGAACCTCTCTAAACTTTCCAAAATACTAAAAAATTCATGGCAATCTTACTGTTTTTAAAGTGTTCTTGGAGTTGTAGATGGTCATAGTGAGAATGTAAAATACACAAAATAGCAGACATGATGTTTTTCCTTGGTATCTCAAAGCATCTTTCTTTTTTTCCTGGCATTTCAGCAAATGTGCTTGTTAATTAACACCACCATTACAGGAGTACGTTACCTATTAATTTCCGACTCTTGTTACTGTATTAGCTAAGCAACTCAGTGCATAATGCAATTTCCTTCAGAATACTATTGTGATATAATTATATCTCTTTTGAGAACAGGGAGCTAAGAATCAGTTATGTGGCTGGAATACCCACTGAGTTGCTCTGTGGTGACTCTTTGGATCTAGATCTGCCTATTCATATCACAGAGTACACCAATATACCAAGTAAACTCCCATTTGAAATTTGCTCATACGAAAACCAAGCTGTAGAAGGGAGATAATGTACACATGAATGTGGGCCTAGATTTTGAAAAAATCTATACTGCTATCCATCTTTTGACATCTTCTTTCACCAAGGATTTAGCAGAGAAGATAGGGGCTACACTGGTAGTGATACATGTACATAAAGCACATATATACCTTAAGAGCCAAAGCTGTGGTCTTGAAAACCTCCACCTACTCCAATGAGCCTTTGTCAGGCAATACACAGCTAAGTTAAAAATTGTTTGAACCATGTTCTTCATTTATTTTTTTCAGTCTTACTGTGTCTAGACTCTTTAACCTAAAGGTCAGTCCTTATCCCAGCAAGGAGGTTTCTTCTGCTGAAAACCTCAAAACCTCTAGGCATGCTCAGATCACTGCTAATGTTTAGATGTGACATCAGACACTGAAGAAGTGTGATGAGTGAGGTGGTGTTCTCTTTTATGCAGTAACATGTGACTAAAGTACATTTGTCTTCAGGCAAATTCAGGCAAGAGCACCTTCCTTGTGAAGAAATTGCTAGGATGCTAGGAATTTGCATAAGTTGTAGGAGTTTATATCTCATTTAGCAGCTATCTTCCAAACCATTGCATTCAACAGCTGGAATTTGTCCTCATGTATGAGAGACCTGTATGGATAAACTGTTAGTAGGGCTCTTCTCTCTCAAACAGCGTAACTTTTCTTTTCCCCATTTATTTGAAAAATAATGGCAATAAGTTATGTTCTGTTCTTGTCAAGAAAATATAGGTGGATGTTTCTACATGAGTAGGAGGATTTTTCTAAATGGCTGTTAGTAGTGCATAAAGTTGAAAGTACTTTGATCCTTTTGTCTTTCCTTCTTGTGAAAGAATAGCAACTAAAATATCTTTGTGCATCAGCATAGTTTCTGTTCTAAAGGAACAACCATTCCCCAAGAGTAGTACCAAAAATTATATTACTGGCTGCCGTTCCCCATATATTAACATAATGTGGCAAAGGACCACAGTATCCTAAATTGTGGTATTGGTGAGACAGCAGAACTGTCATTCCTTAAACAGTAAAAATAGTGTTTTGTACATCCTCTTCTGCATCATTTCAAATATTTTGATGAGCATGTTGTCATCGCTAGCTGGTGATGGCTTGTGTCTTTGTCTGATAGGTACAGAAACAAAACAGAATTTGACTGCAGCAAAGATAGGAGCAGAACTTCTTGGACTTCAGACTAAGTTTTGATTCCTGTCAGAACCAGTAACTGACAAAAGAATACAGGAGTAAAAATATGCTTCCTTAGTGGTGTATCTTTAGAATCTTAAATATCTGTACCATGTTTTCTACAGCAAACTTATTATTTCAGACTTGTGTTGTTTTTCTTTCCCAGGACTATTTTTAATGCAGGAATACTTTTGAAGTCTGTTTTGGCTGTACTTCAAAGAAGGTGGCAGCATTGCCTTGAAGAAAGTAAGGAAATCTGAAAATTCTGAATTTATACATGTTATCGCGTCTCTACCAGTGACTCATTGTGTACTTGAGTGAACAACTGGTTTGTGTATGTGCCCAATCAAGTAGCCAGGCAGTTTATAGGATTAGATTGAACTCTCAGCCTCATTTTCTTTTTTTCTCCCAAATTTTAAGGGAAAAATTGCTTCACTGCAGTGCTAATGGAATTAATTGTCTGTAGTTTGTCAAGGACATTAGTCTTATGGCTGATAGAAAAGCATTTTTCAAAAATTCTGTCTTCAACTAAACACAAAACTTTGATGAGAAATACACTCTCCCACTCCCTTTTAATCTTACTATAGAAAGATGCTTGTCATTACTTCTGAGATACCACCTGTTTCTACTATGGAGTAGTTTAACTAGATTGCTAAAACATCATTAGAAACAACTGTGAGATTAAGAAAGACTCACAGAAAAACACTGTGTTAAGTACTGCAAAAGATAATACACTCAGTATCAAGCTGAAAAGATGGAAAAGCACATGAAACATAAGAGCTAAAATGCAGTGATAAGACATAATAAGATTCTAGATCTCATGCAGCAATGTATGATTTTTTTTTAAATATATATAGATAATGTCATCTATCATGTGGCATATCAGTGAAATAATATTATCTTCTAAATTTTTAAATACAATAATGAAAAACCACAATGAAAGTATGTAAAAAAAAAGGTATATATTCATAGCAACTTTTTAGTCAGAGGCCGACTTTAAAACGATAATAAAACTTTGTATTTTGGGCATCCAGTACATTTTTTGCACTTGTTCATGGTGGTGCTTTTAAAGCAACCTCTGAGCGATTGAAATAGTCAGGTGTAAAAAAGCTAGTCATAACCTGAGGGCTTTAATTTAGCATTCTCAGGATGTTAGTGATTAGCCAGAAGAACTTAATTAAAAATTCCATCAAGATTGACAAATTAACATAGACTGTATTGCATCTTTGACTAGTTGTCAACAATTTATGCCAAATTTTCTTCCTTTTTGATGCTACAAAATATTTTGGGTCAGTTTGTCTGCTTATGTCTAACTTAATTATATTCTAGAAATGCAAATCACTTTTGTATGCCTTACGATATACAAAAATTTAGGTATCTAATGTGCTCACAAAAGTTTCCCAGTGAAAATGTTGTTGTACTTGGTTACATTTCATAGCTTTTTTTTTTTTTTTTTGGGTTTTTTTTTTTTTTTTTTTTTGCAGTACCTGAATAAGTGATTTTTAAAGTTTCATAGCAGTTCAGCTGGAATTCAGATGGCCAAACTACAAACATGTACAGGCTGCTCGGGATTGCTCTTCATTGAGCTGGGGTGACATCACAAAAAGCCTTCTGTTCAGGAAGTCAGAAACTTTTGTTTATTTGGAGGCATCCTGGCATGACTGGCAAATCACAGATGAAGGCATCGTTTGAGCTTTGTTTTCTAATCTTTATCATCTACTCGTGAATTCCTTGTCCTCTTCTTGCTAGTAATAGTACAAAGCAACACTGAAGGTCACAAGACAGTGTCAGGAAAACTTTGGAATCGATTTTGATAAATGCTGCTGTTGCAATATATCCCTCATACTTATATTCCACCTAAAATTCTACTTTGGGACCAATTACAGTGATAAAAATCTATCTCAAGCATATTGTATTATTATCTTACATTTTGTATAGACTTTGCTGAGGAGAGCTTATTCTTTGCCCTTGCTTAAAATTGCAGTTCTCAGAAAAGCAGAGATTTCTTTGTTGGATTTTATTCATGTAGTGACTCTCACAGTTTGTGGGGTTTGTTGATTTTGTTTGCTTGTTTTGTTGTTGTTTTGTTTGTTTATTTCATGTAAGAATTATGAATTTCTTTTAGCTGCTGCTTTGTAATTTTGATATGACCTTCAGAAAGAACATACACAGATGTGGGTAGCATCTATAATTATGGCTATTGTTGAAAGCTTACTGAATAAAGATTTCTGCCAAACAATTTTCCTTTGTAAAAACTGATAACAATATAACTCCAGAACTGCAGTATACTAATCACCAGAAACATTTATATTCAGTATGTCTTCTGTGTATATTGTTATATACATGTTAGTTACAATTATAAGTGATGACTAAAAATGTTACAAGTTTTCTGTTTGGATTTTTTTTCTCCCCCAAGTAAGTTTCTGATATGTATATTTTTAAGTCTTTTGAAAAATAATGAATTTTGGGATATTTGAGAAAGAAGACTTATCTTATGTAGCACATTTTATCTTATCACAGATCATTAAAAACACCTACAGTTCCCAATTCCGGGTAACTTGAGACCCATATATATTACCGGAACTTTTGAAAAGTTATTTATGATAAGGAATAGGGTTCTTAGAGTTTTGTTGCAAGATAATGAAATGTGATACACATTTCATCTTTTGATGTTATAGCTTTTTTCTTTAAATTAGAAACACTCAGAAGAGCTAAGGTCTGTTGTGTTCTTTATTTCAAAGAATATTAGGGTATGCAAATATCTAAGGAAAAGCTGGCCCAACGATTTCATGTCAGTCATAACAAGCTTTTTTATAGTATGAATGTATAAAAATCAATTCTTAAAAATGAAAAGCATGTTTTATTATGCACGTATGCTGTTGTTATCCACTAGCTGTTGTTGGAAAAAACTTTGCAGTTGAACTATTTCCTTTCTGTACATAATGCAAGCATTTGAATAGTGGACAATTGAAATATTGAGAAAGAAAAAAGATTATTCAGCTGGAGTATCCTAGCAACTGAGAAATACCAGGATTTTAGGCTGACAGAAGAAAGAGTGACACTGTTTGAGAGACCCATTATAGATTTTGAATGTATTATAAATATATTCTCCGTTTGCTTTTTTATTGGCTAATTTGATGCAAAGAAATTCTTATTTCCTTTGAATCACGTGTTAAGAGATACTGTTATTTGCTGTGGAAAAATGTTTTTTAGCTTATAAATGGATATCTTCACTCTAAACTATACTTTCTGCTAAAGTATCCCCTCTTAAGCAAATGGAATTACTAAGAACATCAAGTTATGACAACAGATATTTTTGTGTATCCTGAACTTTTCTTCATGACCAGGTAACTGGTCATGAAGAGAAGACTCTGAAAGAGAGAAAACATGAATCACAATTTCAGAATTACTTGAAATGGATTGAAATAGCCATCAGTAACAGTAGTAAAACAATTTAAAATTCAGAACTCTTGAAAGACTACATTTGGTTGTGCATTTTCCACATCAGTTCACTCCCTTTTGGACTTCACATTGTCAAAGAAGTTATTGGTTTTGTCCTGGGTTTGGCAGTAGCAGTCATTTTTCTCTTTCTTGGCAGCTGGTGCAGTGCTGTGTTTTGACTTTCAGCTGGGAACAGAGCTGATAACGATGTTTTGGTTTGGCCAAGGGCTTTGTGAGCCTCATGCTCTGCCAGGGAGGAGGGAAGCCGGGAGGAAGCAGAGACAGGACTCCTGACCCAAACTGACCAAAGAGGTATTCCATACCACAGCACGTCATGCCAGGAGGTAACTGGGAGTTACCCGGAAGGGCTAGGGAGACTGCGGGATTGGAGGAGGTATCGGTCGGTGCTTGGTCGGGGTGCGGGGGGTGGGGGGGGGAGTTATTGGTCGGCTGATGCTGAGGTGTTGTATTCTCTTTCCTTGTTATTTCCTTTATCATTACTATTATTGGTGGCAGAAGTAGTGATTTGTGTTATACCTTAGTTACTAAACTGTTCTTATCTCAATCCGTGGGAGTTGCAATCTTTTCAATTCTCCTCTCCATCCCTCCAGAGTAGGGGGAGGGCAAGGGGGGGGGGGGCCAGTGTGAGTGCACAAGTTGTCTGACTGGGTTTAAACCACGACAAGTTTCCGTAAGAAATCAGCAGAAAGCTTCTTACTGATTTGGATGGGTGTCAGATTTTGTTGGAGCTGGTGTTTGTATCCCATGTCTTTGTGAAGGCAGATCCAAAAAACAGTTTGTCCTTGGCAACTCCAATTCACAGGTGTGGTCTGGATTTTAGGGTGTGGTGCAGAGTGAATATTTCTATTAGACTCAACAGCCACTAGGTCTTGAAGTTTCCTGTTCATGAGATATTTGAATTTTTTGTTTCTCCAGCTGAGGTGAAACAGATTTTTAAAAGAAAAAAACAGTTCAGACAATCTGACTTTTTCAATCACCTTCAACAAGTGACGTTTTCTTCCACTCTTTTGATTCAATTTATTAATAGGATGTTTAAAATTCATATGTTAAGTAACATCAATCTTCGAAAGATCCATAAAAGCATACAAACCATAAAAGTAATCAACAGTACATATATTTTCAGTGCATATTGTGAATTATGATAAATATTTGGATATAAAGGGGAAAATAGCTATTACGATCTTTTTTTTTTAATTTATGCCAACTACCTTAGTTTACAGTTTGTGAAACAACAGATATAAATCATTATTTCACTGTTTTAAAATTATTCCAGGGATAATCTGTATAGCATTGAACTATACAACTTTTGTATGGTTCGAACTCATATAAAGGTACCTTGAAGCAAAGAATATTTTCATAGCACATTACATAATAGACCAGGTGTGAAATTAGTTTTATGGTGAATGGACACCCTGAAGGTTGCTAGCCTTTTATTACGTACAGCTTCCCTTATATAGCTTTTATTACGTATAGCTTCCCTTATAGTGTTTTTTCATAAATAATAAAGTACATTTTAATGAATGAATTATTCTGAAAGTATACAGAGAAATTCTTAAATTTATCCTCAAATATTTTCACACTTTTATATTCATAAAAACTTAGAAATGTGCATAATCTACATTGTTTACACCTATTAAAATGACAAGAAGAAGATGAAACTTTGGTTTTGTTAAGTTTCACTTTTGTGTCAGATCTATGATTAGAGTTTATCAATATCTCTCTGGTATATAATTTTAGTTCTACTGAAAAGGGATTAGGAAGCTTTCTAAAGTTATTTTAATGTTACAGCATTTTTCTAATGTGGTTATGTGAATTCATCAGTGCTGCTGCAAAGCTTTCGCATTTATCTTCCCAAGTTTCTCAATCCCAAGAGAAATGTTTTTTTTCTAAGTTGGTCTGTAAAGCTGAGTTTCAGTTGTAGTCATCCATAAGAAATCACCTATGTACCAACTTATTTAAACTTGTAATTTTTGTATAAGATAGTTTCAGATATATTTACTTAATCTGAATATTCTTATTATATAGCATGAAAAACTGAAAATCTCAAAACAAGCAAAACATTCTTTTCCAGAAAAAGAGCAGATTTGCTAATTGATGAGATTGATTTTTGCTGGGAAATGTCTATTTTCTAGGACAGAATAATTTCCTGTAAATATATTAATTTCAGTCTAACTTTCTTAGCTCTAGCAGTATAAGACTGCAATAAATCCAATAGTTCAGTAACTGAAAATTACTGAAACAGTTATGTGGAATACATAAGGGTTCTTTTTCTTCTCCACTTGATTCACATCTAGGTTTTAAACCATAACTCATCCTGGCATCTTCCACCAATCTTTTATGTACCTCTCCCACTTCTGATGTTACACCAACAGAATTTCTGCCTGGTCACAGGTTAAACCCTGTAAAAGAATATATTCAGATTGCTTATATGTAAGCAATATATATGTGTGTGTGCATATGTAGTTTCCTAATGTAGATATCCGTGTGATGCAGCATCAGTTTTGCTGGCAGAAGGACACCACAGAGAGTGGGGTGGGCAAGGTGAGTGGTGCTGCAGTTGGCTCAGGAGCTGAAAGCAAGGCTTGTGAAGCTAGTCCTTCCAGTCTCAGTATTTTTAAGCATTAGACTGTTCTGTGATGGCACTTGAAATGGTTTGATACCGCTGTAATGGGAACACTAAAACTCTCAAATTCAACAGCTAGACAATCATTTCTCACTGATTTCTGATACGCATTTTAGCTCCTTGACCTAGATTTATATCCAATTTCCAAGTGATGTCAGTGCAAGTTCTGTCTGAGTAGTATGCAGAGAGCATGCACTCAGCATTTTAGAATTTTTCAGTATAGATTCATAACTAGACATTAAGTTTCCCTTAGCAGTTGCAAAATAGCTCATACATAATAACTATAAACCATAACCATTTCTATTTGGGCCATGTAATTTCCTATTAAGGTGTTGGTTTAGTGGTTTCATGACATGTCTAATCTTAACAGAAATATTTACTGTTAATTTGGGAGCATCTCTTGCTATAAGACATTTCATATTCTTTCTATAATTTCCCTATACTGACATAAATCTGACTATACGAAAGTCCTGCAGAAAGTCCTCTGGGGAAGATCAAAACAGTCAAAAGAAGAACACTTCTCTACCTTGAGAAAAATTGCAAAAGGCAGTACTATCCAGAAAGCAGGAATAGTTTGTGTGTGTACTCAGTCAGTGCATACCTTTTGACAGTCTTTGCCTCAAGCGCTGCTGTCGAGCCTCCAGTGTAAATTAAAACTGACCCTGACTAGTGGAACTCCTAAGAAAGGAAAGTCAAATTTTTATTTTCTCTCTTGAGAGTGATTTGGATTTGAGTTGCATTTGCACTTCCCTGTACAAATTGCATGAAAATCCCCCACAATTTCAAACTTCTCAATTCAAGCACCTAAAAAATTACCTGAATTTTTCTTTTATAAGATGAATTTCACGGTGTATCCATCACCCCAGTAAAATGAAGGCATGTAAAAATGATACTCTATAACAGCATTTCATATGTTTTTTTGCAAGAGCTGTTTTATCCATGTGGAGGGCAGGAGAGAGAAAGAACAAACAAACAAAAAAAAATCCCCACAAAAACCAAACAAACCTAGCTTTTCTAGGGATTCGGATTTTTCTCTCTATAGGACCACTTGTATGTTACAGAGGATAAAAATACTCAGAGGCCTAGATACCTCCTTCTAAAATAAGTTCATATTAAGTGGTCATCATAGAAGAAAAGTGTAAGAAAAAAAATCTGCTTTGGCTAGTGCATTTCAATGGAGTGTAGAATATACTATGCAATGTGATGCATTCCTATAGTTAAAAAAGTCAGACGACATGGAGAAAAGAGGTAGGAGAGATTACTTTCATCTGCAATGTACCTGTAGGCACAAAAGTTGCCTTTCGAAGGCTTAAAATCTCCAGTCAGAAACTTAAGAGGGAAAAAAGAGAGAAAAGTATCTAATTTATTCAGAGAAGAAATAAAACGTCTGCAGAGAAATGAAGGCTATTTATTATATATCTTTCAGTAAAAAAGTTAGTTGCACAGATAAGAGTAATTAATTTAGTAAGTAGACTAGAAAATGAGGTAAATGTAAAATGAAAGTTCTTGTTACACTGATCCCTTTCAGCTGCTGCAAAACTGCGTGGAATTTGCGGGTTGTGTTCCAATGATGGTGCAAGCTGGAAAGAGAAATTAATATGGTCTCTTTAAAGGAAGTGGATAACCACTCTGCTTTTTTACTGATGGTTCAGAATGCAGATGCTAGTGATCCAGCTGCAGCCTTAATGTAAATCAGCATTGCTTACCTGTTTTTCCTGCAGTCTTATTGATTCAGGCCATAACATTGTTCTTCCTGTTTCCATCTCCACAGCAGATAAGAGGATCTGAAGGCTCATGCAGTCTAGTCTTCTTCTAGTAGATTAAGAACCTAATTCCTAATAAGGAAACCTTACTAAGAACCCAGTTCTAATAAGGAAACCCGATTCTCTGGTTTTGTATTATAATGTTGCTATATAAACATTTTATGGGCAAGATTGATGTCTTTGTTGAATAGTAATTGTAAAAACTCAGAAAAATGAAAAGAATGAAAAATTAATGAGTTTACTTAAGGGAGGGATAGTAAATTAAAAAACAAACAAGCAAACAAAGCCAAACCAAAACACATGGGCAACTAAATCAAACAAGTAATTACATAATTTAAAATATCATAGCACAAAACCAAAGTAGTAAAAAAAGGGAAAGGATCATTAATAAAAACCAAGGGCAAAATTAAACTAGAAAGATTTATACATAATTCAGTTCTATAAAAAAGTTTAAGTAGAGGCAAAATTTCTTATGTAATTTAAATTTGATTTTTTTTTAATTTTTAAATCACTTTTTTTGTTTGTTTGTTTTAGTTTTGCAGTGTCTGATTTTAGAATTGCCTCTGCATAGTTGTCCTTACCATGTGTAGGTACAGTTTTCCTATGCAAGTCTTTCTGCATGTGTAAAACTGTATGCTGAGAACTGAAATTTTATATTTTGTTATTGTGGTAGGAGCTTAGATGCACAAAAATTATGCATAATTTGCTAAAATATGTAACTTAGACTACCAATTTCATCACGAGTATGTCTCCTCTGAGTTCCCTTATCATCAATATATTGTGCAAGCAGTATTCCAGTCCCAGCTAGACTTTCTAAATACACATGTATTATTAATTATTTGTGCATCAATATAATATAAATAATGCTGTTATGGGTTGGGCATTCTGCTAAGATAAAACTAGAGGAAATTATATTTCTACAGTTACTGAGAAGTTCTTCACCCTCTATTTACTTTTAAACTAATTTATTCTCAAAGTAATCTTGAACTTTTACAGGGTTTGATGAGATTCCATTTCTGTTCCTGAGTTTGCTACTGGGTTCTGGGTGATTTTAAAATATAAGATGTGAATTTATAAACTTCCACTATTAAAAAAAAAAAAAGACCTCATGCTTTACACATTTTCAGGAAATATATTATTCTTTGAAGTACTTTGAGATAGATACCGACATACTCTTTTCATTTCTTTGAACTCATCTATTGCAGTGAGTTTAAAAAAGATTATAAATCATTAACTTTCACATCAAGCAGTCAGTGCTTAGGATTTTCAAGCATTAGGGAAGATTCTTACTTGCCTGAGGATGTCATTTAAGGCAACTGTTAGAAGGTGAAGAATCATAATATGGGGAAGACATTCATAAAAACTAACCTAACAGACACAAACATCACTGCAGAATTCAACTTTTAACTATTTAGTGAAAAGGATATACATGCTTCCAAGTATTGACCTGAGCAGCAGAAAGTTTCAATGCATGATTCATTTTACTTTAAGTTTATATAATGTTCTTTTTACAGCAAACTTGACTTCTTTGGCCTGAAAAAGGCCAGGAATATGGGAGGAGAAAAAGCACCAGGTCTTCTAATTATGTCTCTGATAATTAGACTGATAACTGAATTTTCAGTAAGAGAATGTTAATTGCATTTAGCTTTGAATATGTGCTATTTCCTTCAAAATTACTGCAGCTTTTAGAAAGAAAAAGGTTAATAAATATAAAACCTAATAATATTTGTATTTGTGATATAAATCAATATTTGTAACACAAATATTGATACAATATTTGACATACAATATGGCAAATAAGTCCTTAGAGAGAATGTTATCTCTAACAGAACTGGTAATAAAATAAATAAAAAACCCCAAACAAACAAACAACCAAAATCCTGAAATCAAATCTCTGCAATTAATTCTGTCCAACTCCTTTTCATACCAAGATTGCAAATTTCCATTCATACGTTGGATATTAATTTTTTTGGTGAAAAACATGTTTTACTTAGACTCTTGTAGGACTGCCTGAAGGCCAGTCTAAAGGAACTGGAGGCTGATAGAAAACCCTGGCAATTTAATGTGAACTGTAGGCACTGTGTACTTATCTGTGGAGGTCTACAGCCTTTTCAGATGTTCACTGTGATCACCCCTAAGTGGAAGTTTGATTGATCTGAACTACCGTGGGGCAACCTAACCTACTAGTAAGAGAATATTGTGCTCATGCCCTCTCTGCTTGATAAACAGAAGAGCAACTAGAAAGCCTAGTTCATTAAGAATGACTCTCAACATTGTCATTCCTGGTTTTTCCAAGCAGTTAGCTTTTGCACAATCATTCTTTGTTAGACTCTAAACAGATTACTATTGTGAAGACACACAGGGTGCTTTCGGTGCTACTTTTGCTCTTTCTTTTGTGTCATTTGGGCACAAAAGGGTTATTCAGCCTGAAATTATGTTTATTCTTTGTGTTTGAAGAAGTGAGAATCTAAACTATCAACTTTAATAATATCTAAGAACACGTACTGTGAGACAGTGAAAGCCAGTCATGGGAGACTAAAGATTTCAATAAAAACACTGTGCAGTATTCTCAATAGCGCATCAGGTATAAGAGAAAGCACAGAGAACTGTGTTTTGCAGTAGGGGAAATAATAACAATTAAGGTGACTGTTCTGCTAATAAATAATAAATCAACAGGAGAGTTCACTGGTAATAATACCGCTAAACTTTTAACTTCCCTGATGTTTGCTGGAAGGACTACTCGGCAACCCATCCGCAGTCCAGGAGGTTCCTCCAGTGTATAGATGATAACTTCCTCATGCAAATGGTGGATGAGCCAACCAGGAGAGGTGTGCTGCTGGATCTCATCCTCACTAACAAGGAGGGTCTGGTTGAAGGAGTGAAGGTTGAGGGCTGCCTTGGTTGCAGCGACCACGAGATGGTAGAATTCAGGATCTTGTGTGGTAGGACCAGTAGAATAGCAAGTAGAATCGCAACCCTGGACTTTAGCAGGGCAAACTTTGGCCTCTTCAAGAGATTGCTAGGGGAAATCCCGTGGGCTAAGCTGCTTGAAGGGAAAGGGGCCCAAGACAGTTGGTTGACGTTCAAGGACTGCTTTTTCCGAGCTCAAGATCAGAGCATCCCGACACGTAGGAAGTCAAGGAAGAGGGTCAGGAGACCTGCGTGGCTAAATAGGGAATTGCTGGGTATGCTCAAGTGGAAGAGGAGAGTTTACAGGTCATGGAAGGAAGGGCTGGCCACTTGGGAAGAATATAAGGCTGCTGCTAGAGGATGTAGGAAAGCTGCTAGGATGGCTAAGGCCTCCTTGGAATTAAAGCTGGCAAGAGGGGTCAAGGACAGCAGAAAGAGCTTTTTCAAATACATGGCAGGTAAAACTAACACCAGAGGCAATGTAGGCCCGCTGATGAATGGGACGGGTGCCCTGGTGACAGAAGATACAGAGATGGCAGAGTTACTGAATGCCTTCTTTGTCTCTGTCTACTCTGCCGGAGGCAGTCCTGAAGAGCCCTGTACCACTGAGACCTCGGATGAAGATAGGTCAATGGAGCGGTCTGCCTTAGTCGATGAAGAATGGGTTAAAGACCAGTTGAGCAATCTGGATATCCATAAATCCATGGGTCCAGATGGGATGCACCCGCGGGTGCTGAGGGAACTGGCTGAGGTCATTGCTAGACCGCTCTCCATCATCTTTACCAAGTCTTGGGAAACGGGAGAGGTGCCTGAGGACTGGAGGAAAGCAAATGTCACTCCTGTCTTCAAAAAGGGCAAGAAGGAGGACCCGGGTAACTATAGACCGGTTAGCCTCACCTCCATTCCTGGGAAAGTGATGGAACACCTTATCCTTGGTGCCATCTTAAGGCATATCAAGGATAAGAGGGTTATGAGGAGCAGTCAACATGGCTTCACCAAGGGGAAGTCGTGCTTGACCAATCTTGTAGCCTTTTATGAGGAAATAACACGGTGGATGGATGATGGCAGAGCGGTGGATGTGGTCTACCTTGACTTCAGCAAAGCATTTGACACGGTCTCCCACAGCATCCTTGCGGCTAAATTGAGGAAGTGTGGTCTGGATGATCGGGTAGTGAGGTGGACTGTGAACTGGCTGAAGGAGAGAAGCCAGAGAGTTGTAGTCTATGGGGCGGAGTCTAGTTGGAGGCCTGTGTCTAGTGGAGTGCCTCAAGGGTCGGTACTGGGACCAGTATTATTTAATATATTCATCAATGACTTAGATGAGGGAATTGAGTGTACTATCAGCAAGTTTGCTGATGACACTAAGCTGGGAGGGGTGGCCGACACGCCAGAAGGCTGTGCTGCCATCCAGAGGGACCTGGACAGGCTGGAGAGCTGGGCGGGGAATAACTTGATGAAATATAACAAGGGAAAGTGTAGAGTCCTGCATCTGGGCAGGAACAACCCCAGGTTCCAGTATAGGTTGGGGAACGACCTGTTAGCAGTGTAGGGGAGAGGGACCTGGGGGTCCTGGTGGACGACAGGGTGACCATGAGCCGACACTGTGCCCTTGTGGCCAAGAAGGCCAATGGCATCCTGGGTTGTATTAGAAGGGGGGTGGTTAGTAGGTCGAGAGAGGTCCTCCTTCCCCTCTACTCTGCCCTGGTGAGACCTCATCTGGAATATTGTGTCCAGTTCTGGGCCCCTCAGTTTAAGAAGGACAGGGACCTGCTGGAGAGAGTCCAGCGCAGGGCAACTAAGATGATTAAGGGAGTGGAGCATCTCCCTTATGAGGAAAGACTGAGGGAGCTGGGTCTCTATAGTTTGGAGAAGAGGAGATTGAGGGGTGACCTTATTAGTGTATATAAATATATAAAGGGGGAGTGTCACGAGGATGGAGCCAGGCTCTTCTCAGTGGCAAACAATGAAAGGACAAGGGGTAATGGGTACAAATTGGAGCACAAGAGGTTCCACTTAAACTTGAGAAGAAACTTCTTCTCAGTGAGGGTGACGGAACACTGGAACAGGCTGCCCAGGGAGGTTGTGGAATCTCCTTCTTTGGAGACATTCAAAACCCGCCTGGACACGTTCCTGTGTAACCTTATCTAGGTGTTCCTGCTCCGGCAGGGGGATTGGACTAGATGATCTTTTGAGGTCCCTTCCAATCTCGAACATACTGTGATACTGTGATACTGTGTAAAGAGCAGAAAAGAGACATTGTCTGTAAAGTAAGGATTTTACACAATGTGAACAATTTAACACACCTCTGAAGATTTTGCTCTAGATGACCAAAGAGAATTTTATGATCAAAGGTGCTATTTTGAGATTTAAAAGAGCACTAAGAAAATAACCTTTATTGAGTGATCATAAGCTCAACATGTAATTCATGACCTCTAACAACATAAAATCCTATATTGTGGATAAAAATAAAAAATAAAATCAGGCTGTAGCACAGGCTAAGTGTTGGGAAAACCTTTGTTTTATGGAAAAATGAAAAAGGAATGGGACAGCCTTGAGGGAGATGTGCATATATTTTAAATGTCTGACAGAAGCTATATGATGGAAGAAAAGAGGGGTTTGGGGTGTGTTTTGTTTTCTTGTGCAATAGATGATCCTTTACTATTGGAAGATAAAAGAGGTTTTCTAAGGTGATCTGGTAAAAGATTAGCTTTCCAGAAACATGGGTTCTCAGAAACATGCAAGAGAATATAGTGCTGATGGAATTTTAGAGTAATCTTCAAATAAATAAGAAGTAAGTGGCTTCTCACAAAGATTCAAAGATTGGCTGAGGATTCCTGGTGCAGCAGTCCATAAGGAAGTACATTCCCCAAACTCTGTGATGCAAAAAGCTCACAATGACAGAAATAACAATTTCAAGTAATATGTTTTAAGATTTCATTTTTACTTACCTAAAACTAACCACTATTGAATTACTGAAATAAATTGCAAATATCCTCCTGGTAAAATGCACCTACAAATAAAAATATCATGGATCAGTTAATGTGTCCATTTTCTTTATATAAGCCAGTGCTGACAGCAGGTAGATGTTAGATTGTGATCCAGATCTAGTTCTGAACACAGTAGACGAGGTTTAAACTTCCTGTACATGTTAAAAGAAGCTGTGTTAGCCCAAGAATTGATACCCTTAATAACACACTGCTGAATTCACCAATTCCTGTCTGCATTTGTTACTTGTGCTGTAGAGTTATTCACACATACCATGTTATTGTCAGAGGGGTCTGACCCTGCTGCTTCTGTTCCTACACATGCTCTGCTTCTGAAAATATCTCCTAACACCTGCACTCTAGGGAAATGGCAGATGATTGTTTGAAGATACAAGCAGAAACATGCTCACTCATGCAGTCCTTTTGTTTCTGTAACAGAGCTAATTAAATGACTAAAAAGCAGAAAACCTAGCTATGCTTCCCACTGAAGCCACTTATTTAGTATTTATTGCATGGCAAATAATATTCCATTGTAGTTTTACCATGCCTCTCCACATAATTTATTAACAAGGTATTGATAACATAACTGAGTCACAACCCTTATTAATCAAGAAAGCTATTTTCTCAGCTTACATGCAGACAGAACCTTAAATATTCACATCCTTGTATAGATTTTACTAACTTACACTTACTTGCCTAACTCTGTGGAGCATCATCTTAGTATAAGAAACATTTGTCCATCAACTGTTTGCAGGTAAATTTTGGGGATAATTGATCCTAAAAAAAAAAAAAGTAATAAAAAGAACTAACTGCCCTTTGTAAATAAAAAAGTATATTAAACCTAAAATTTTATTTCCAAGGATATTGTAATAATTAGTACAAAAATAATGTTTAAGAAAATATGCAGGCTATCTTGACAGAAGTGCTTAGAGATTGCAGTGTTTTAATGATTTAGTGACTTACCGACTAAAAGGTCAACATCACAAATTACCTATCAAAGAAACAATATATATTTTGATTGGTAGAAGGTCATTAAGTGCCAAAAGTTCCATTGCGGTTTCATGATTGAATAAATTACAGGGAGAGGTTTGGAACATGAGAACACAACTAGTCTCACACTACTAGCAGTGTGTGGAAACACATGCCACCCATTTCCTGGACATGTAATCCAAGGGAAGAGAACAAGTGAAAGACATCAGTCATTAGCAATGCCTGGCTGACAAGCCAGGTATCTGTGGTGCATTATGAAGTCAGATCTAATCTGTTTCATTTAGATAAAACTGTATATATTAAAAACCTGAAATTAGAAGTCAATATATTTTACTGCTTTATGAAATGGTATGTTCATCTTTTTTATCTTTTTCCCTTTCACTTTTATCTGTGGTTACATAAGTCTTTGTTAGTCCATAAAAAATAAGTAACAAATTGCTAATGAAATAGTAGTTACTCTATGTTAAAAATAATGATCTTCAAAGCAATTATTCTGAAATGTGTTACAATAATAATGGGATAATAAGAATGAGGTACAGTAACTTGCAGTACAAGTAAAATTATCTGATGATACTAACAGATTCAACATATGGTTTTGCTCCTCAATCTATTTAAACTTTTCCAATTACATATACTGGCTAAAAAGAAGTGGATAAATAATCCTGGAGGAAGAAACCATACTCAGAACTCTCCAGCTCCAGTTGACTGCTCTAATCACCCTACTACACAGCCATTGCAATTACTGGACTATTGCCCCTCCTTCTCAACCCAATCATTTTTTTCATTTTTTGTTTCATTTTGGCACAACTACAGTAGCAGGGTCATAAATGTCTCTGTACTCCTGTGGAAACCAAGGGTGAAAAATGTCCATAAGCCTAAGTAAAGTTCACAGCTCTAAGGTGAGAAGAGAGATCGAGAGAGGTGTTTGATCTTCTTGGACTTTTAACTACTGGAATATGTTACTGCCTAACCATTATGATTCTCTGCAAAAATTGTCCCTCAGCAGGTAGCACTGCAAGCTTCATTGCAAAAACGAAGCAGCTGCATTTTCATTTTGTGAGGAACTTTGTCCAGTTTGTGTGTCAAGCACGCTCTGTAGATAGCTTACTGTACTGGTCAGAAGAACCTGTCCTCCAGAGCTCAATATCGGGAACCTGAGCTTGCTTTTGATGTCTTCTTCAGGCCATTTTAATTCAGGCTGGGCAACAGTGAGATTTTGAAACACTGAATAACTACTGACTGGGAGTCATTCAAGTTCCATGACTAGTTTTCTAAGCTATGAGTCCTTCTATTTTAGACCAGGATTATCCTTTCAAGAAACAGTCTTTTGTATGATGCTGAATATGAGTCTTGCTTTCGATTTTAGTCACTTGTCTTTAGCTTAAAGCACAGGCAAGCAACATCAATAGTAAGTCATCGACTCCCTTTCAATAGAGGCTGTTACATTCTAATTTCGAGAGAAAAACCTTTGAGCAAGTAGAAACTCTTTACACTGCCGGTCACAAGTCTCAGGTGAGAGCACCAGGTCCCAGATAAATCTGGAACCTGCCTGTGTGAAATTTTTTTCCCTGTTTTTCTGTCAACCTCTGACTCTCAGAAAAGTAGCACATACTCATTTTATGTGAGAGGTGGCAAATGTCACATTCTGCTTGGAGTCATTGCTCTTAATTGTCACTTCTTAGCTCAGGCCAATACTTCACCATATAAGTACCTCCAATTTATTCTGATTCCAAGTGAAACAGGTTAGCTTAAGCTAGAGCTCCAAAACAAGCAGAAAAGACACTTGACAGCTGGCATGAGTCAAAGGGATGATGTTGCAAGAGTTTTGCTTCTTGCAGGCTCCTACACAGACCATAAAGACCTGAGCTATAAGCTGCTTGGCTCTACTTCTAAGTGAATGCCTTAATCTCCAACAACATTCCTGAGAAAGAAAAATGTGAGCAGTTGGAAGACTGACATGGGAGACCCATGCTCGTTGGAAGTGCTAAGGGCTTTCCTTGCAAAATGCATTTGCTGAATGTCTTTCTGTCCTATACATATTAACAGGATATCAGTCCAAGGGCTCTGTTGATAATCAGTTTTTCTTTAATATTTTGATTTTGTAAGCTCCACAATTCAGTGCATAAATGCCTGGGTTTTTATCATGTGCTGCAATAAGTGAGTAAAATTACAGGGTTTGATTTACGGAACCCTATGGAGCAAGGGGTTTTCTCACTTTTGCTATTTATGTCTTAGGTTTTACGATAACATAAAAGATCTGATTTTGCTACTAAATTTAATTCTAAGCCTATTGCAAAAAGGAAATGGAACCATAGCAGACTCTTGAAAGACCATGGTAAATACACATGAAAATGAACTAGTTTGAAGTTTAAAGTGTGGGGGGGAAGCCAGCATGTTGGTCAGTGATAAATAACTTAAATGAGAGCTGAGAGGGAAAGGATCAGCTGAGAAATCTAATTGTGATTTTATTCCCTCCTACTTTCTCAGTTTTTTCCCTCTCCCCCTTTACTAAATTTCATCTTACAGGTGTAAATGATGCAAGTTTGTAGTAGATCTGATTTTGCTTGTACTTATACTGAAATGTATCTCATTTGCATCAACTTGCATCCTAAATGTAACTACGTTTATAACTACATCTATCAAGCTGAATATTTGTATATACCCAAATCCTCTAAAGACTTACAATCTGGGATTCAGACTCATTATTTTTATTACAGAAGAATAAAATTTTAAGTATATGGTTGTAAATGGAAATCAATGACTTTAATTAAACTTCTGGATTAGAAAGAGGGCTTGAAGGTATTAAACAAATTTGAATGTTATTACTAAAATGCCTGCTTGAATTTGGCTCAGTCCATGAGTTTGTTCTCAGAGGTATTTTCATACTATAACTGGCAATAGAAGATTTGGAATGGCAACAGTAGTAGAGAAGCTGTACTTAAAAAAACAATATAAAAAGACCCAGCAGGCATTGGCAAATATGGTAGTTCAGAACAGAAAGACTACCTGCTTAAAATTAAAGATATGCAACTGTGGCAGTGCAGGGAAGGACACATTTCCATTCAGCTCAGGGCTTAATAATAACATGCAAAGAATTAGAGGGGTATCTTTTCAGTGCATAAGGATTTACAAAGTAGAGGGAAATGACTCATAAAGGGTCAAATCCTGCAAACGCTTCAGCTGAATAAAATTACAGGGGGAATGAAATTACTCAAGGGTGTATTAGAGGACTTAGCCAAGTGAGTGGGTAGGTAAAGGACAAGCAGGATTACAGTGGTTGTTGAAGTTTACCTCCCCACTGCCCCTAAAATTACTATAATTTTATTTTGATTCTGAGTAAGCAAGACAGAAACTTTGCATTGTGCTAAACTTCAGCACAGGACAGATAAGGCTGGATGGATATTGACTGGTTAATTAATCCACAGCTTTGAGCTGAGCATCACTTCTGTGTTAATACTAATTTTAATTGTGCTGATAGTGTTGATGTTTTATTTGCAAAATTTCTTCTATAAAACTGCAAATTTTCATTCCTAGGCGATGAATTTCAAATGAGATAACTTTGTTACTTTTGTCTTACCAGTGGTTTCTTGTCTTTCTTTTTTTTTTTTTTATATTTTTTTTTTTTAATTTTACTTCCTTTCCCTGTAACAGAATAGCTAAAAATGTTTTGGCCGTTAAAAAAAAAAAAAAAAAGGAAAGGAAAAAAAGGAAAAAAAAAAAAAGAAGGGATTTAAAAAAAAAAAGATGACCTTATAACTCTAGGACGATTACTAGTAATTATAAAGCACTATTTTAATCTGTCTTTAAATGTTGTTTTATTTACAGATACTTGCATAATAAGCCACTAACAGAAAATTCCTCCATTTTTATTGAAGTGATTGTGGATGTCACCGAACACTCTGCACTCTGAGTGTTGCTCAGATGTCTCTTTTATAACAAAGTATACTCTACAGCTTAGTGTATATATATGTTCTTTCCTGTTTGTTTCAGATGCCTATTAAATATTAAATTAATACAGAAATATCACACACATGAAATTTCAAGTGTAGAAATAGCAAGATTCTAATCCACCCTGAGTACAGGATTAGTCGGTAAAGTCCAGTGATAGATTGAACCTTAAATTCTACTTTAACACTATTTAAAGAGTAAGATTTCAAGTAATTGGTTGTAAACTAAGGCATATAATTTCCAGAAATTTAGATTCAAAATTTCATTAACTATTTATCTGAAGAGAAGACGCTAGTCCACTTGCCTGTTAAACCTGTCACAATGGCAGACTGCCTTATATTCACAGAAGGAATTTCTCAAGCTGTCACAGATTTTTAGGTTAGAATTTGTAGGTTCATATTACCAGTCAAAAATGATTAATTCTAATTCCCATAATATTCTAAAACCTGTTTGTGTATGGATACTTTGTGGATCAAAGGGGGTACAAGTATGCAAAATACAGTTTCTTCCTGTTCTCAAAACATTTAACTATTAATTTAATCGCTGTAGATGTGAAGCAGCTGAGGTACGTATGTGCTAATTCTGGCCTAACATTTTTTGTCACACCTTTATTGATATTGAAACTAGTTTTTGCCGTGATGCTATCATGTATATATGTGCAAGTTTGTGCTCATGCTAGATTGATGGGGGAAGAGAAAAATGCCTAAGTGCCATCCTCATTGTTCAGCCTAGTAGTGTCTTTCCAACCATGTTATCATATTAAGATGGACCTTTCAGAATTTTCTCAGCTGAGGCAAAAACCATTTTTTGTAAATAATAAAATAAGCTTAAACTTTATGAAAAAAATATGGAACTGACCTTTAAATGTTCCAAACACCACTAGTTCTATGGCATTACAATTTATTTAACCTTTGAGAGAGTGTTCATTTAAGTCACTCCAACTTTATTTTTTTTTTTAGCTGTACAAAAATGAATTATGTTGCAAAAGGTGCTTTTATTCTTATCGGATAACAAAGTTCACCACATTTATATTTTCAGTCATTCATTTACAAGATAAGAATGAGTCATTTGGCATGCATGTCTCATAATTTTCCCTTTATTTAAAATACTATTTTTAAGACTCTATTAACAATATTTTCTATGCGTTTTCATCCTTCATGGCATTGCCCATTAAGATTTCTACTCTAACAATGCAGGGCTTTGAGAGATAAGTGATCTCCTATTAGCTCAGGGTTTGGT